GAGATGGAAGGTGGAGGGGCTGGAGAGAGAGAAAATCCCCTCTGGATAATACCAGGAACGTTTGAAACGTGGAGGCAGAGCTGGATCCCCAGGCTGAGGCTTCCTGGGGCCGGCAGGGCCCAGCATGGGGCTGGGGATATTTTTAGCCCCTCTGCTCGCCTGCTCCTCTGCTCCCTTCCGAGTGCTCCAGAGCCGCTCGGCATCTCCAACCAAACCCGTCGGTGGGGTGGGAATCCCAGGATCCGCCACCGCAACCGGCAGCTCCCTCATACAAGACATCAGGGAATCCACTTGCTGGATCCATGTGGGACGCGGACTCTGCCCCGGCGCTTGGCAAACACGCGGCGCCGGAGCCGCAGGGAAAGCCGGTGCCGGCGGGCCCCCCGGGCCCTGGCCGCGGCACGGCCCCACGCAGCGTCCCTGTCACCGGCCTATCAATTATTTACCACTGCTCTTAATTGCATTCGTGCCAACGGGCTTCCCAGAGGCCCCTGCCAAGGTCGGCGCCCGCTCGGTGCATGCACATGTATACATCTACAGCAATATACGTGTGTACATACACATATATAGGTGAAGTCAGCAGCCAGCTTCACCCCAGGGCCTGCAGTGCCACCCTTGCCAGTCCCTGCAGGACAGCGATGCTCGGGGGCAAAATCCACCCGAAGTAGGGATGTTGGTGGGCAGGATGCCCATAGGGATAACCAAAGGGCTGCACAAGTCCCCAGGATTTGGGGATTTTGCTGCCCGCACTGGGGATGCCGCCCGCTCCAGGCACCGCGGGGACGAGCAGGTCCAGCCGGTCCGGGGACGCGGTGGCTCCGGCTGTTTTTAGGTCACGGGCGATTCGAGGAGGGGAAGTGACTCACGGGTGCTCATCCCCTCTTGCAAAGCAACAACCCAACCCTGCGTGTTTGACATCCCAAGCGGCCGCCTCCAAAACAACAACAGCAGCAGCAGCATCGGGCCCCTCACAGCTGCCTTTGCCCGGCTCCCTTTTCCCCGGCCTCTGCCCAAACTGCTTCATTTTACACTGAGCAGACCCGGCTAACAGGAGCGCGTTGATAAACACTTTTCCTTCCAGGGTGTATAGGAATGTTTTAGAAAAAAAAAAACCCATGCTCCTTTGACAGATAGTTTGCATTTGAGGTAATTAAACTTTAATCAACAAAGCTAAGGAAATGGAGATATGTTTTCCCCTCAGAGCTGAGTCGGAGCTGGGGACGGCACTGCATACCTGCCTGTCAAGCGCAATATATCCCAGGAGGAAACAGCACCGAGCTATATTTGCTCCTCGCCGCAGCTTGCGCGGGACCGAGACGCCCACGGTCAAACCCGCGCCGGAAGATTTCCGTGTGGGAACAAAACGCCCGGCTGTGCCAAGCAAAGACGCGTTTCCTGGATGGGCTTTCGGGTCATGGATCTTGCACCCCCAAAGCAGCCCCCGTCCAACAGTGCCTCTTGCACAGCCCTGCAGCTGCAGCTTCAAAGCAGGAGAGGGGGCGAGCGCATATTTTCACCTCCAAATTGGCTAATTGCAGGGAGAGCGGGAAATTCCCCCTCGGCAGAGCCAAGGCCGCAGCAGTGGGTGGCGGAGCAAATCTCCTCCGGGAAGGCAGCACAGAGCGGCCTCCCAAAAGCCAAGCCCAGGGAGGGCACAAGGGAGCAGGGTCCCCCTGCACAGCTTGGGAAGGGGGATGCGAGCCCCGGAGCAGCAGCTGATGTGTGGGGAGAGCTGGTGTCCGGGTGTCTGTTGGGCCAAACGGTGCGGAGGGAGGCTGGGAAAAGCAGCCAATTCCCTGCTCTGGCCCTGGGCGGCACCGCTGGGGCTCTGCACCGTGCTGGAGTGCTGCACCATGCTGGGATGCTGCAGTGAACTGGGATACTGCACTGTGCCGGGATGCTGCACCAAACTGGGATGCTGCACCATACCAGGATGTGCACTGGCTTAGGATGCTGCACTGTGCTGGGACCCTGCAAACACTGGGACACTCTGCAGTGCAGGGATGCTTCATTGCACCTGAGTGTTGTTCTGCACTGCACCGGCATACTGTACTGCACTGGAATGCTGCACTGCACCAGGATGCTGCACTGCACCGGGATGCTGCACCACGCTGGAATGCTGCACCATGCCGGGATGCTGCACCATGCCAGGATGCTGCACCTCACCGGGATGCTGCACCACATGGGGATGCTGCACCACGCTGGAATCCTGCACCACGCTGGGATGCTGCGCCACGCTGGAAGGCTGCACTGCACTGGGATGCTGCATCATGCCGGGATGCTGCACCATGCCAGGATGCTGCACTGCATTGGGATGCTGCACTGTGTCGGGATGCTGCACCATGCCAGGATGCTGCACTGCATGGGGATGCTGCACCATGCTACACCGCTGCACCTCACCAGGATACTGCACTGCATTGGGATGCTGCAGCGCACCGGGATGCTGCACCGCAGTGTGCACCGCGCCGCGCTGCCGCCCGCGCCGGCACGCCGGGCTGCACGGCGTGTTGCTGCACGCAGGCCGGGGAGGCGCCGACTTCCCCGCGCTCCCCGGCTCTCGCCTCGTTCCTGCGCCATGACTGGGCGCGATTGCTCCACCCGGGAGCCTCCGAGGTGCCCGCGCGCCCCGCGCGCCCGGCATCGTTCCCAGGCCAAAATCCCCTCGCGCGAGAGCCGGCTCTGGCCCCGCTTTGCACCACGCAGTGTCCTAGCCCAGGGCTGGCCTCTCTGCAGGGCCGGATTGTGTTTCAGACCATATTTTGGGATATTAATTATGTATCTGATGCC